CAGATTATCGGTGGTACACTGTGTGGCCCCTCAATGACTGTTTGTGCGGCCTATATTGAAGTAGATCGCCAAGATCGTTCGCATAAAAGCGGTGGAGGCTATTTAAGCACCCGTTCTGGTCCTTCATTAGATCTGAGTCCAGTGGGAAGAATTTATAACGCTAAGATTGTGGTTATCTTTGTCAGTAACCATGTTCCAAGCGCCTCTCCTGTCAACTTACTTCGGCTATTTCGAAACAGTCTGTTGGGTGGATGAGCCACTGACCAGATTTAATTCAGCCGGACTGGTGCTGCTTGGTACTGGCTAGTTTAGTGCTCTGCGCGGCCTACTTCCTCAGTTTTGAAAAGGAGCTTGTTGCGGAAGACAGCAATTAATCTCTTACGCTATTTTTATGGACACAGTGGTAGTGTTCCTTGTTGATTCATTCATTGCCGCCAGTCCTCCGTGTTTCGAAATAATTCATGTACAATCATTACCAGTGGGATAATCATAAATACTGCAGAGAATCTGGTCTACCACTGTGTTATTTCATTTGATTTATTATGAACTCAGAAGGCTCAGTAATAAAATTACCGAGACAATCAGAATACTGGGTTCCTGTTAGTGCATTCTCCCCCATGATAATAAACCAACTTCTACTGTTATTTCTGTAGCACTAGGTTTGGCTTCCTTAGATTGGTAATTATAAACCATTGATTCACTAGTCAGTCGATTAATGCCTCTCAGCGTATTGCTTGAGCACTTTACCTCAACCCAGAATCAACGTGATTGGCTGTGTGCATGTCTACAGCCCGCTGAAATGTCAGTGTCCGATAGTAGCGTGTCTGTAGCACTATTGCCAGCCTTATAGATGTTTACGGGGAAGAGTTAAGTGATTGGATCGTTTACTCGGAGTTCGCTCTGATGTCTAAACAATGCAAGTGAGCGAAAAGAAACACCAAAAGTTTGATAGCTTTTTCACTTAGCCATCGACATCTATGGTTACTGGCTTATGGTATAAAACTCAGATTTGATTTCCATGAGAACAAAAGACTGAAGGTGAACAATTGTTTTCGATGATTCATCTTCCGACCTGTACAATCATATGGATGAAATAACAATGGGCAAGTAAAGCCAGAGAGTCGGTCCACTGCCACTAACAATGGATGAATATGACATCTAAAATACCACGCGAACATGGCCCCGGGTTACATCAATACTTGAAAAGGCATAAAGCACGAATGTGAAACCATATCCTCTAAAAAGCAAACCTCGTGTCATACGGATGTTCTATCCCTAAACAGTCGGTTAAGCTCAATAATGAACGTCTTTGAGTGAGCTAGGAATATAATGCTCGTCCGCTTTAACTTGACAGCACACACGGATTAAATTGTCTTTGGGAAACAAACGCAACCATTTCCGTTCTGCTCCATCCAATCTTGAGCACTTTAAAACCCAACCCTTCCAGTCCTTGAGTATTGTAGAATCATCTATAAAAATATGCTTATGGTTGACGTAAAAGCTATAGAATAACATGCAAATTGCATTTTTACACAATGCTTGTTTAGTATAGCATCCAATTCTACCGATCAGAAGTGGTGCAGGCGGCTTCAGGTCGAGCATGTTTATTTGCGTTGAATGAAACATAATTAAATCATTTGCACATTAACAAATATCAGAAAAGACTCTCTAATCTGTGCACCTTATACTTACAGCATAGCTATAATCAGAAGTCTCCAAACAGTACTTGTAAACTAACTGGGCGAGAAATTAGGACAGATATTTGTTCAAACGTCCCTGCAGATAAGCTGTCCTATGGAATAGCCCACCAGCGATTGTCAGGTTTTGTGCAAAAATACTAGCATTAAGCATGGAATTTAGACATTTCCCGTACCAGAACTCAATTATGGTTATATTATAATCAGAAAAATGGTCAAATGAATATTTCTGCGATGGATCAAGAAATAGATAGCTCCGGGAAAAGCGCTCACACAACGCTTAGTACAAAGGGAACGGTGTGCTTTTCTATACCATTTTACAGGCATGTTAGCGCACTGTACCAAGCGTTTAGCGTGACACATTTTCGAAATCACGTGCAGTGTTTTCAAATTAACCAGGCTAAGAACGCTGGTTTGGCGTCGTTGACACGGTCATTGGTCATGGGACGTTAACCAATGGGACACCGGTTGGGAGCCTCCAGCATAAGCAACAGAGAGTCCGATGAAAATGGTCGAGCATCACCTTCTGTTCTGTATTGATGCTCGTGGTGTCGTGTCACCGCCACATTGGGAACGCTCCTCGTTGAAACAATGGCTACAGATCCACTGATGGTGGGCGCGGTTGCCTTTGTAATTGATTGCAAACACATTGTAGGAACGCCCCCGGGTGAGACAACAGTGTTTGTCTGTTCCAAATATTCACCTGAATTACCAGAGTAAAATGCGTACGTATCCACTAATTGTCGACCTTTGTGTCTTTCTAGTAGGACGATGTGCCAGGTATGCATACGGTAGTCATTTTAGCCCCTTTAGGTGTTGAGTAATGTCGATATCGTGAGGATAGCATTCCCGTCCATGTACGTAATGGGGAGGTTCCATCTGCATTGACTGTACTTTTAATGGTGCCATTTGGACAGCCACTTGTCAAAGCGTTTCAACAGCTATGGGCGACCATATGGAAGTAAAGCCTAATTATCTTATGCATATATAGGTTCCTATGACCTTTAACTAACGCCATATATGGAGACACTGAAGCGATAACTGATTAACAAAGACGCCCATGGGTGTGGAGACAAACGAACACTCACTAACGTCGTGTCAACGCCACACTTGAAATCCTCCTAGTTTATGTTTAGTCATCAACTGTGGTAGAAGTAAGCACCCATAGAACTTTCGTTGTTTAGCTTCAGGTTGGTCTATCAACGTTAATGGGAACAATGTCCCCCATGGTCGTCGCAATAACAATGGCACAAAATTGTCTAACCGCCTAGCAGTCATTGCTAGTTCAGGTTTCAGTGTACAATGTCTAAGCCACGGCGCATGTCTGGCCAACCGCAAATACAAGCCTGCCTCACTCCCTTAGACCTAAGGGAATGCGGAATACCAGTTAGAAGATTGCCTGTCTATGCCACCATGGTTAGGCCGCTGAATAAGCCACTACCAGGTAGCCGCTAGCGATCACTAAGTATATACCGTTTTATGTGTTGGTTAGTATGTCTGTCCGCACTGGTTATGGCGTAAGCTTCGAATCATGTAGTAGCTAGCATCTCCTCCTTAGTCAGGCATCACAAGTTGTCCATTGGACGATTACATTTTGAAGGCCAATCATCCAGGTTTACTTCAGATGAGCATCAAGACAGAACCGAATGTGATGCTCGACCACTTTCATCGGACTGTCTGTCGCTTATGCTGGAGGCTCCCAACCGGTGTCCCATTGGCTAACGTCCCATGACCAATGAGCGTGTCAACGACGCCAAAACAGCGTTCTTAGCCTCACTAACTCTGCATGCGATCTCGAAAATCTGTCACGCTGAAAGCTTGATCCAATGCGGTAACATGCCTGTAGAATGGTATAACTATTTTATCTACACAATATTTGTACCTGTATTTTGCTCTTATCAAATGAACAACATCCCACACAACCTGGAAATATACGTATTAATAATGGTTTTAACTGTTCTGAAGGCGCAATCAACCAATCAGTTGCGCATTGGATCATTGTATGCACTTCGACAATGTTATCTATTAGATAATATTTGCCTACACTCTAAACGTTTTGGATACTAGTGATTTCTAGCTTCCAATCCAACTTTCGTCAGTAGGATAAACCAAACTCCTCATAAACCGTATCCTGTTTGGAAGACAAGCTGTCAACTGGATTATGCGGATTTAAGCGACTTCACGAAAGTAGGTGAAATAAACATATATTTTCCAGTAGTGAGCATATGTGCGTTTTGTAAGCTGGGTTTCAGCGGTATGCACATAATACGTCTCGTAAAAGCCAATCAACCGTTGCATTGCTTTTCAGCACGATAAGCATACAAGCCTGACAGGCCAACTAAAAGTTCGGAAAAGCAAGACGATCGTTTCATCCAATTGGGACTCATCGTTGGTGCTAATTCCCTCGGCTTCCTTCGCGGAACCGAACCCGCGACCGCTAGTGGCTTGAATTATTAACCAAAGGTTAATTACACTGAACCAGCGGAGATGACATCTGACCATCATGCTTTGAAATCTAACTTCGAGATGGTCCGACCCATCCTCCACTGCCATGCAGGTTACTACCCGGACAGCGTACAATGGCTGACACTTAGGAGTCAAGATTTCTCCACCAGTAGTCTTGAATTCACACAGAATTTTGGGGATCGAGTGGACACATTTTGTCCGCAAATAAGTAGTTTCGCTTGTAACAGTAGAAAAGAAAACGGGATGATTTGGACTTGGCAAAGTAAGTCATTTGAGGTGCAACGGTTTCATCCGTTCTATGTGAGTCAGGTTAGCTAAAGCCACTGCATCAACTGTCGTTCACATAAGAGAATAACTATCGTAGTCGGATGAAAACTGCCAGAAACCTATTATGTTAAGAGGATCCATATAGAAACAAACACCGTCATTAATAAATTTCCAATTTTCCTTCTCAAGGAATTATGATCGAAACGCATAATGACGCGCGTAAACGTGTACCTAGTCGACAATTTCGTGAAATGCATTTTGTCGCATGCGCCTCATCCTACCCGACCTCCGCAATCGCGTATTGAGACCACCAAAAAAGCAAAATAGCTGGAGGCACGTATTCAGACACTGAATCTTATATGGGGTGGCCTATCCGCGAAACATTCCAGAAACGTAAGTAATGTAAACTTCAGACCGAAACAGTCCAGTCAGTATGGTAAAATTCTGTGAGTGATATTTGACATTATTTAACGTTCTAGCAGCAGTTTTTAAAAAGGACGGCGTTTGTGTTACCCTTTCAAACCATTTGATTCTCCTCAAAATACACACATTCCGAATCAAAGAGCTAACCCGTTTTCAGTAGATGTTTCACCCAGTTTTGTTTTCATATCGTTAATCCGGTCGTAATACAGACGATCCACTTTTCGTTTAGTTGCAATCCGGCTGTTACGACGAAACGCCAAAATCCATTTGTCCAAAATGCGCTGGTATTCCTCTTTCCCTAATGAAGCCAACTGATTCCGAAGGCCAAGCAAATGTCGAGACTTCTCAACCTTTAAAATAATAAGAACGGAATGTCGAACCAAAAATAAGTGGAAAGGAAGACAAGTATCTATTTCGATAAAAAATATACACTTAATTTATCGAGGTAACGATGTAGTTAGTGTTTGTAATGAAAGCGAAACCTAAACAATTATATTATGTACAACATCAAATTTTCGTAGAAAAGTTTCCTTTAATCCCATAGGACAAGGAAAATGCAGTTGCATCTCCAGTCGAACTTGAAAGTGTGAACATTACATAGACCGCATAGAAATTACTTACCAACTCTGTAACAGGTTAATCAACATCAAAACAATCCTCCATTATTATGATAAATACCAGTTTTTTATAGTCAACTAAAACTAGTGTAAGGCAATGTTTCAACGAAGTTTCTAGGATAACGCTTACGTTATTACAATCAAGTTGCAAGTTTGGCTGTCCTATTTTGTAAACGTTTTATTGCATACAAGCAACTATGTCGATAATCGATTTCCTTTGGATTTATTGTATTGAAAATATTTGCTGATATACATCAAGCTGATTTAGCTCCGGATGGCCCGCATCAGAAAACTTTAAACTAACTTTGGCAAGCTTGAACGTCCTTGGATCAGATCGCGAAGTCATAAGTGCAGAGGTTTGAAAACTGTAAAGACCAAATTTCTCCCCGATTGCATAACGATTCGAATAGCTTTCGTGTCAGAAGAGAAATGTTGCCCAACAAATACACCAAACACTTGCTTTCAAAATTCTCTGGACTTATAAAAGAAGGTATAGTATCCATTGCAGAAAATTCCATGTTAGATGGAGCCCCAAATGCATAAAGCCAGCGCATTCGACCTAAAGAGACTCGTCAGTAGTGCACAATCCTCGGACGCATCAGCTTCGGATTTTCGGAACACAAGCGTCTTGAAACGCCAGCCAGCAGATTAGATCGCAAAATACCAAGTGAGAAGTACTCTGACGGGAACGCCGTAATCAGCAAGTTAGCAATTTGCGGTTGTTCACTATTTCCTATTGCTATTTTTGCCTTCCATTTGCTTACCCCTAACTGAGCATCCGGCGGGACATGTCAAGTTTCGGATCTTGTCTCCACAATATACCAATGACCGGTGAACATTGATCCACTGTTGAGATCAGTGGCAGATCGTCCTTATATTCAAGCTAACTGAGATGTTATAGCCAACTGCCCTGCAAGTCGCGGAAGCTGCAGCGAACAGGGTTGCCACAAAAATCATGACATTCATTGACAACAGCAATGTACGGCGTAGAAGTTCGAAAACTCTGAAAACAACTACATTAGATGTGTTCATAAATGTTGATCATAATTAAAAATAGATTTTCGGAGTTCAAAGCAGTAACCAAATCAAATAGTACTCCACATATCCAGAGGAGAACTAGACAGTCATTTCCTCCTGCGGTTACTCGTTATTATCCGTTTCCTGAGCATCCGGGCAATGAGCACTTGCGATTTTTGCCGCTAGCCAACTGCATAAACGATAAGGTTATGGAGGATAGAGGTAGGTCACCATGGTTTACGAGTTAACCGCGATACAGCGCGTCTCTTCCTCGGTTGAAATGCTAGTGACGAACTTTACGGAGAACAGGGAGAGCCATGTGGAACAAAGCACTACTCGTGAATCTAAATATAATGTCCGTGAAATCAAGTAAGCGCCGCTGCATTACATGAGCAATTGAGGCTCCGAAGTATACCATGCATGCGTTCAACCTACTTCGAGGCGACAACATTTATGCGGTCACTGACCATTTGAACTGTTGACCTAAATTTGATACACTTGTAGCTGACCACAGCTTGTGAAAACATTGCTTTCAGAAACCCATTAGGAGTGCGAAATAAGGACATATATTGCAAGTAATATCATTCGAAAAATATTGCCTTAATCACTCTGCAAAAAGCATGATTATAATAGCTGCATACACTATTTGGAAATATCTGTGTGCTTTTGAATGTGCTTACTAGCCTCGAAACTGGGCACAGATCAGATAATAAATAGGATGAGTGAGTTGTATTATCACCTATATCGTGCTAGCCCATAATATGCCGAATTACAGGTTTGGAAGTCCAGGTACACTCCAGCAATTACATACTTCTTAATACAGACACAATGTGCATTTGGTACAGAGATATTTTAAAGTCATTTCTAATGCCGTCCAATAACAATCAAACCGAGCAACGCGATCCGTCGCTCACATATGCCACACTATCCATACAAACCGTGTCGAAATCGATTAACTCAAAATTCATACCCGTCCTACAATTGAAAAATATAAAATCATTTTGGAAGTAGGACGTCGCGAACGAGCTTATTTTCAGTGCATCATCGCCAGTATAGTACAACGACAAATATGTAGGTCCAAAATGAGCACGTGAATTACAGGCTTCAATAAATCAAACATCTCATCAATAATGCTATGTGATTAGCCCGACCTCTGTGGAGTCGGGTGGAACGGCGTGAAATGTCTGCATACTTGTGTTAGTCTAAGGCCAGGATAGACATAGTGTCTACACAAAAATTGTCTGTGTACACAGCTCTGGGTTATGGAGCCGGATTGTGATTGCTTCTGCTGTCAACAGTAGACGGCATCTGATAGCTCTCGTGTGGCATCTTAGCACACAGCAGATCGGTTGGAATGAATCTTTTGAGTTGATTTTGTGGTTGGTAGCCACTAAGTGTGACAATACTGTACTCGTCACCTTCTTCCTTACACCACTGTATAGCCAAGCGGGACAATGCTCTCGAGCTCTTACCGACAGTCGACTGGTCGCTTTTCCAATATACCTTGATCGACAAGAACAAGAGAAATTGTGCACACAGAAGGAAATTTGCTACCGTGGTTTCCTGTCTGAGCTGCTGGCGGATAATGGGTGTTGAGGTGAAGCTTACACGTAAGTTGGCCGCAAAGTACGTTTTGGCAATGGCTAGAGTAAGCTTTCGGGTAGTTTGTTGCGTTATCGTGTTACACTTAAACAGTAGCGCTAAGTATAGTAGGCGGTTCTCTGCGAAACAGGTTTCATCTGCGGTACTTGCGGCTCCATGTGCTTCTGAATGAATTTTTCTGGGTACCCACTACGTTCGAAAACCCTTTGGATGAAACTTAGCTCGTCAGAGAGCGTATGTTCTGTGCATATTCGTCTTGCTCTCGCAGTGAGACAATGGACTATATTACGCTTCTGGCCGATTGGAACGAAACTATGAAAGTGGGTGCGTTGCCCATTTCATCTTTCCTTCCTGTGTACTCTCCTCCGTATTGTCCTGTCTGCTATCCTAATTATCTGCACGTCTAGAAAGGCCAATGAGTCGTCACTTTTTACTTCGAGAGTCCACGTTATGTTGTTGTGCGCGGAGTTGAAGTGATCCAACGGATCTTTAATACACAATACAATACAAAAGATGTCATCTTGATATCAACCATAATAAACCAAAACGTTGATGGACTCCTTCAACTGGCTGCTCTCCAATATGCTAACGAGCAAGGCCGCGAGTAACTAGCCTAACGGCGACCCCATGCCCACCCCATCTATATGTCAGTACACTGATCCATTAAACTGAAACTGGATGTTTCGTGTGCATGTCAGCAATACTTGTCTTAATCGATCTGGGGGGATACCAACATTGATGTTGTGCAATTGGATGAATTGACATAGATAGTCTACGGTCTCTTCCAGTGGAACATTGGTGAAAAGGGATACCACGTCCAATGAAAATATTTTCCGCCCGGTTAGTACAAGGTGACACACTTAGTGGATACCAATCACAAAACCAACTCAAAAGATTCATTCCAACCGATCTACTGTGTGGCAGGACACCACACGAGAGCTATCAGATACCGCCTGCTGTCGACAGCAGAGGCAATCGCAATTCGGCTCCATAACCCGGAATTGTGCGCACAAAAGGATTTTGTGTAGACACTGTCTACCCTGACCTAAGACTAACACAAGTAAGCAGACAAAGCACGCCATTCCATCCTCCTCCACAGAGGTCCGGCTAATCACATAGCATCATGGATGAGATGTTTGATTTATTGACGCCTGTAATTCACGTGTTCTTTTTGGACCTACATATTTGTCGTTGTATTATACTGATGATGATTCACTGAAAACAAGCTTGTTTGCTACGCCCTACTTCTAATGTTTTCGAGGGGTATTATTTCACAACAAATTCACTTATATGCTTTAGAAGATTTACAGAGACCACCAAGTAAACCTTTATTCAGTGGTACGTGCACACTGAACTACCACAAAATTTGCAAACCGCATCAAATCAAAACCCTCTTGTAGCGGCGTTTGAAGAAAACCTTGATGCTAGTCCACTAGTTGTTACATCAGAAAACGTACCAATACTCGCTTCATTTAGAGCTAAGACAAAACTCATATCGGTGACCGCGCAACAAACATATACGTCACCTATACCAAGGGCTAGAGCAACCCTACGCTCTAACGTTTTCCTCATCCGAAACGCAGTCTTTTGAAAAGGCCCGCCAACCGTAATCAAGAACGTGGATACCCCGCGTCAATCCGCACCAAGCCAGATAATTTCATTGAGCTGCAAGTGGTCTAATTTATGTTCCAATTTGACCAATCACATAAATAAGTGCTCCAGGATAGATCAAAAAATATTTTAAAGACTGAAAATTTGTATCAAAATACACACGCAATAACATGACTAGTTCTGCCTGCATTGATCTGTTCCTATTTTACAGTTGCTTCTCACAATTTTCTGGAATATACATGTATATAATTCACACAGCACCAATCATTTATACTCACATTTTAGCGCTAAATGCGTGATGCACACTTGCCTACGCCAAGATGCAGTCAATAAGATGAAGGTCACCCGTATAGTGTGATATTTTTGACCAGTGAATTGATCATGTATGCTAAATCCTCTTGAATTCTTTAGATCTGCAATGCTAGGAGTCAGAGCGGAGTCCATCATGAATTTCGCTGATGATGTAAAAGTACTGAATAGGGACGTCATCGCTTAACATTTTA